TTAAAGTGAATAAATGAAGATTCGGCACACCACTTCTGAAAGGTTGCCGACCCCTACCAGTATAACTATATTGGTCAGGGGTGTGGAAACAAAACAAAAAAAAACACATGCTAGTGACAAAGCTATGCTGACAAAATCTCCAGAAGAGTGGTTCTTTGGCATAGTTAACGCCATTCAGGAAGGCAGTATTCCCATACCAGAACAAAAACTTCTTCTGTTGGGATATGCTGCATCTATAGGGGACATTGGTTTGAAAGAAACATTGATTTTAAGCTCTAGTGGGTCTCAGGATAGCAGCCACTAATAATATATCAGAACTGAAATGAAAAGAGAACTAATGAATAAAAAAAAAGTTATCAGATATATTTTAACTTCTGCAGGCTAAAATGTAATGCTTTACACCACTAGAAAAACTGCATTCACAGCTAATGTTTCCAGTGGTGAGAGGTGTTACATTCTGGCCTCTGAGCTCACAGGTATTTTTTTAAGCAAATATGCAGTTTTTGATTTTCACTGATATGCAGGAATTGGTTAACTTTCAATACCTATAAAGGGCAAGTGAATAGAAGTCATAGATACGGATGACTGTTTCAGGAGGAGGAGGATGGCAACACACAGAAAGTATAAAGATTTTTAGTACAAGCAATGGCTGAGTATTGCATTTCAGCAGATGCCAATTTGAAATATTCTGCTTTTAAACCATTTGTTGTGTCCTCAGGCACTCTTAAAACAGGTCTCAATAAGTACTGAAATTATACTTCATGTGCTCCCCTAGAACGCTAGGTCTTCTACAGCACAGCACTACTTTAAATACAAGTAATAAAATTATCAGCTGAGAAATGTTCCAAATCTTTTTCAACAGCAGATAAACTAATGCACTAAACTGGAGTAGGAAAGCGATTTTGTTTAAGTGTATAATCAGATAGGAAAGTGCTCATTACCTGTCTGCAGAGGCTGAAGCAAGAGCAGAATAGTATGGGATATCTGTTCCCCAGAGGTCTGCTCAATCTGCTCAAGTAAACCCAATAAAAGTTCCTTTGGATTACATAGCTGCAAGAAAGGATCAAGCCATTGTACTGTTGTTTATCTCCAAAGCAATACATTAAGTACCTTTACAATAATAAACATACTTCCAACCTGTAACAGTTTTTGCATGGCAATGACAGAAGATGCAAAACATCCAGGACATTATTGTTACAAAAACCCAAAAACCACAAAAAGCTCATGCTTTCTTTAAAATAGCAGTGTTCAACATTTTTGAGCTGAGTTCCCCCTTTGAGTTACAATTTTTGGATGTGCTCCCCCAATATCTGCTCCTCCCTCCTCAGGGTTTCAGGGTGTGGGAAGGAGTGTGCCTCGATCTCCGGGGATGGAGCTAGTGCTGGGCATGAAGGTGTCGACATTGACTGGGTGGCTTGCTGAGGGGAGTCAGGGGATGGAGGCAGCGCTCCCCCTCCAAACCTCCAGGCATGGGGCTGGCCCGAGCCCCCCCCCGAACATTCCTTTGCACCCCTCTAAGGGGGCACGCCCCACAGTTTGAAAACTTCTGCTTTAAAACATGCATTTAGAATGAAGCTACATGTAAGGATATTTAGATTAATATGTTCAAATAACATTTTATTCTACTTTGATATGAGACCACTTTAACTGGCAGAGGTAAAAGAAAAAGTTCAGCATGTACTCTACTGCTTGAATTAAATTCAAAATGATATGTTTTCACCCAATCTTATAGATCACTTGTCTGCCTACGTTCTTCCACATTTATATTGCTGTCAAAGGTTCACCAAGAGACAACAAATATCAGGACTTTAATATCATTAAACAACATCCAGTCCAGCATGGAAAATCCATCATTCACTTAAAAGAAGTTTTCTGATTAAAGTTAAGGTTTACAGAACAAACATTGTAACAATAAGAGACTTAAAGTTCTGTAATTGTACAATAATTATATGAGATTCGCCTTTATTAAGACTACATGGTTCGACAACATACCTGCACCAACTGATCTAGTATTTTCAGACAATGTTCTCTCTTCTCATCTTCCTGCTTATATCTCAAAATACATCTAACAAGAGGACAAACAAGATTCCAACCCATACTCTTGACAATAACCTGTAAATCAGATTTACAGAGAAAACAGGCCAAAATTTAGCGGATTTAAAATACAATCCTAAATGAATATATATATATATACACATCAAAAAGAATCAATAGATTATGGATGACAAACAGATGAATGATGGATGACATCAAGAAGGCTGAGGTGTTTAATGTCTAGTTTACTTCAGTTTTCACTAAAAAAGTTAATTGTGACCAGATGCTTAATACAATTAAATTAATAAGGGGAAAGGAACGCAAGTCAGAACAGGGAAAGAACAGGTTAAACAATTTTTAGAGATGTTAAACGTATTCAAGTTGGCAGGGCATGATGAAATTGATCCTAGGGTACTTAAGGAATAGCTGAAGAAATCTCAGCAATTAGCAATTATCTTCAAGAACTCATGAAGGATGGGTGAGGTCTCAGACAACTAGGGAAGGGCAAACATGGTATTTATCTTTATTATATTATAGAGCAGTCTGCTTAATTTTGATACTTGGTAAAATCCTAGAACAAATTATTAAACAATTAATTTGTAAGCACCTAGAGGACAATACAGTAATAAGTAATAGCTAACATGGATCAGTCAAGAACAAATCATGCCAAATCAACCTAATTTCCTTCTCTGACAGGGTTACTGGAATAATGCATGGGGAAAATGCGTAGATGTGACATATCTTGATTTTAGTTCGGCTTATGACACAATCCCACATGACAATCTCATAAGTAAGGTTGCGAGTCTGTCACGGAAGTCACGGATTCTGTGACTTTCCAGGACCTCCATGACTTCTGCAGATGGCAAGTCTGACTGACCGCAGGGCTGCCTGAGCAACTCAGGCGACCCTGGGGCCAACTGAATTGGTCCGCCCCGGGGCCAGCTGCACCCCCAAACAGTGGCGGTCCTGGGTTGTGCCCCC